GCGCTCCGCGCTGGCCTCGCCCCCTCCGGGCGGGGCCTCCTGGAGCCGCTCAGCTGCTTTCCTGAGCCTTGTGAGTAGAGACTTTAAAAGCCACGTGTGCGGGGGCCAGGTGCGGACCCGAAGTACCCACGCATAATGCAGAAGATTCTCATGGTGTTTCTGATACCACCTGGCAGGCTCTGCACGCACTGCCTCTTCAACTGTGGAGCGGGCCTCAGCCCTGCCGGGAACAGTGGCTTGGCTCACAGATGACCCGCAGGCTCCGGGTGGTGAAGGGCTTGTCCAGGATTCAAACTTAGGTCTCAAGACCACCTCCAGGGTCCTCTGAGTAGCGTGGTCTGCCTTCACCCAACGCCCCGAGATCTCACACTAGTGACAAGGGCTCAGGCGGCTCCTAGAACGACTCCTGCTCAGAGTGGGTGTGCGGTAAACATTCGTTGAATGATAGTTGGTGTAGGAACTGCATGTTTCCTTTCCCGTTTCATCAACATCTGCCTGGAACTGAGGTCACCAGTCTGTCTGCTCCTGCGCTTTCTGTAAGGAGTTCTCACCGCTATTTGAAATTCCCAGAGAAAGAGGTGGCCAAAAGAGGAAGGCAATTTGAAGGGATCCCGTTTCTACTTCCAAATTCTGGACTTCCCTTCCCAGGCGTAAAACCAGGTAGGGTGACCCACACTGCCAGGGAGGCTTGTGTGATCAGGTGAGCTGAAAGAGGAGGAGCGAGGGACAGGCTGCGGAGTCCTCAGGGGAGTTCAGTGAATGAATGATGAGGGCCAACCCAGGAGGCCCCCAGAGCCAGGGGGCATCGCGGGGTCAGAAGCTCCCCCTACCGGACTCCAGTAGCTTCCCTCTGAATCCCACAGCACCTTGTCACCTGCTTTGTAGGGTTGCATGTGGTTGTCCGATCATCCTGTGCTCTTTAAGCGCCAGGCGTGTCCCCCTGCATTGGGTGTAGCCCACATCTCATAGACTCTCGGGCCTTCATATACCTGAGCCATGACTTCTAAAGCCTGCAACTCTTCATGTACTAAACCACAAAGACTTACTCCTGATGCCAAGAAAGAGGCCCCGTCTCCGCCAGCATCCTCACCACCAGCCACTACCTCCTTCTCCTGGATCTGCTCAGCAGGCATGTGGGTCTAAGCTATCCTTGGGTGGTGTACACACAGTCCCTGTGGCAGGGCTTTGGCAGGCCACACGGGTTATGGTGGATCCTGTCTCTTCACTTAGTGTCACCCCGCCTGAGCAGGGACAGTGGTGCCATCCAGAAACACTGATGCCCAGGTGATTGGCCCTGGGGATGGTGGATGCTCACTTAAAAGTCATAGCCTGTCTGACTCTGCCCACTTCCCCACCCCTGGCCTTTGCTTTGTTTGGGACCAAGGCTTGCACTCCTGCCTGCTGAAATCCGGAGTGTTCTTCATGGGTTGGTGCAAAGCCTCTGCAAAGCTCGCCCAGGCCCCTTGCCTCCTGCAAGGCTGTGATGTGTGATCGCTCACTCCACAGTCACCTGCTGGCTTCCTCCAGACCCTGGACCCTGGGCACCTGTTACAGCAGCACGCCCCCCTCGTCTTATTGGTCAGCACCTGACACGCAGCAGGTGCTCAAACAGTGAGGCTGGCCTCGACTTGAAGGGGAAAGTTAGGGGACAGTTAGGGGACAGCTTCGGTCCTGGGCAGATGTGTGGCCTGTGGGACAATCTCTTCCGGGAAATCTTTTCCTCAAAGGGAGGGTGCCAGGGTTTCCCTGCACCTCCAGGTCTCTGCCAGGGAGCTCACAGCACAGGGTGGGGGCCTGTGCTGGGGGCTCATGCCTTAGGAGGACCCTGCAGGGACTCCAGGCCCCACGAGAGCCTTCGGCAGTTGGGACATGGGGACTGACTGGGATAAGGGATGCAGTCTTGCCTCTCGCTTGCTCTGTTACGTGTTTTCTTGTTTTCCGTGTCTCCTTTCTCCCTTAGATTTGCAAGGCTGTGTCCCTGTCCCCAGAGAACTCCCCCTACCCACCCAACATGCACTGCGCTTTGGTTCTAAGTGGGCCCAGGGGAAGGAAATGAATCGGAGATGTGACCTTGCAGTGTGTTCCTGGAAAACTTCTGCCTGGAAGCTCTCCTGAACCCCACCCCTACCCCTCAAGGGACCCAACACGTCACCTGGGTACCCCCCACCTAATGCCCTACAGTCACTCAGC